CATAGAAGACAATGGTACTTACTTCTGAGTAGACATGCATAGGATTGCGTTGTAAATGTGATCTTGAGGTAAGTTCAAATTGTATTTTGAATTGGTTAAGTACCTTTATTTTAATATGTATAGTAATTAAAATGATCAAAGTATTACAAAAAAGGCTTTCATTAAAATTATTTTATGTTTATGCATTTCAATTCTCTATTATATGCTTTGAAAATTTATTTGCTGTTTTTTCATATCCCTTCATACTATTATTTTTTAAATTCCTCAGTACTTCTACTGACTTTCGTTCTTTTATTTTTCTCTTTCATGGATGCCATGTTCTTTGGAATCTTGTTTAAACCAAGTTAATGGCCTTTTAGGCTTTCTCCATGTGAGTAGTTCACTTTTTGAATAGTAAGAATTATATGTCACAGGGGGGCATCAGAATTTTGGAAATGCTTAGGTGGGGCATGGCCAAAGAAAGGTTGGGAACCACTATTTTAGACAAAGCCAATTTACTATCAATAACTGCTTTGTCTTGAACCATCTAATTGCCAAATATGCCTATAAGAGGAGACCCATTTGCTGCTTTTATAGACCTCACAGCAGCATTTGATATGATAAACAGAGAAGTACTATGGAGTAAACGGACATCTCTTAAAATAGAATCTAGACTGCTGGCTTTGATTAAAGTCCTTTATACAAGTACCTGTTTTAGAGTGCGGTATGGGGTTAATGGGTCTTTGACTAACAGGACTCACACAAATAAAGGGGTAAGGCAAGGATGTATCCTGGCCCCATTATTATTTAGTTTATATATCAATGACTTGCCAGAGTTAATGAAGGATCCCATGGTACATATGCCGATGATCCTAAATACATACTGTACATACAGCTTGTTCTATGCTGATGATATGATTGATAAAAAATTTGTCAAAGTGCAGATTTCCTAAATACTGTCCAAAATGTTTTGATATGTCACAGTATGCCAATAATTACTGGGACCACAACAACTAGTTTAGAATTATAATTAGAATTCTTTATTGGCCAAGTGTGATTAGACACACAAGGAATTTTCTCTGGTGCATAAGCTCTCATTGTACATATAACAATAGAGATAGATCATTATCATAGTCATTGTAAAAATACATTCATCATAAAACATTAGATGCAACACTTAGTGATAATCATGGATACTAAATAAGCAATCAACATAAATCATACTAGGATACTAAGTAAACAATATAAATCTTAAGATGCAAGCAACAAAGTTATAGTCATAAGAAGATAAGGGGACGGAATAGTGAAGCTGAGAATAATAATGGTAATACTGTCTTTCTAGATAGTTTAACAGTTTTGTGGGAATTAGTTGTTTAGCAGAGTGATGGCATGGGGGAAAAAACTGTCCTTCTGTCTACTTGTTCTAACATGCAGTGCCCTATTATGTTGTTTTGAGGGTAGAAGTTGAAACAGTTTGTGTCCAGGATGCGAGGGATCTGTAGATATTTTCTAGGGTTGCCAGGTCTGCTTCCAAAAAATAGCAGGCAAGCGGGGGGGGGGGGGGGGTTAAGTAGTAAAAAAATAAAAAAAAATTACAATTAAATTATGTATTTTCTTAAAAACATTTTAACACGTATTAAAATAATCACTTCAAAACTTTACTTAAAATTCAAAACATCAAATATATTATAATAATACGTAAAATATTAAATTACATTTTACTTTGCTGTCGTGTGTATTTTTTATTTGACTGTGCAGCTTTGATCAATTCTTTGTGTTTAAGGAATAATTCTTTAATTTCAGTACAACATTGAGAAATATTAAAAAATATACAAAGTTCATTTCAAACTGATGGTACAAGCAGTCGGTTACATTCATCAGTCCACAAATTTCCCATGACGCTGAAAATTCGTTCAACGTTTGCATTTGATACCGGAACTGATACACAATACTGGAACAGTTTCAGTAAACTCGGAGCTAGCTCTTTCTTGAAAAAGTATGTCCACTTATCAAGGGATGAATAGCCCTGCAGATGAACATAAACTTCTTCTAAGGCAGAAATTTCATCGAAGAGAGTGTTGGGTGGAAATTCTTCTCGCCATGGTGATAATAACCAGATGTTCGTCATTTCTTCTAAAGTTGGAGGATTATTGCGATCAATTAGATTGAAACAACTTAGCTTCTCATATACTGAATCGGTGAAATTATACCACTTTTCTACGTACGCAATGGTTTTTTGATACACGTTGATGGCTTCTTTCTTGAACTTTTACACGGCATTCTCAGGTAAAAGTTTTTTACGTAAGGCAAATAAAACTTTCATTCCAAAAAACTGCTCATCGTATTTTTTTTGCAAAGAATCATGCAGTTTACACATGATAATGTGAAGATCACAGGCAAGAATTTTCTTGCTTTCCAGCTTCAGTAGAGTGTCTTGCATTATTGACATGAAGAAGTGCGTGAAATATAAATACAATTCTGAAATTGTTGGTTCATCGTCCTTTGCGAGTTCATTTTCCTGATCCGAAATAAGGTTTCAGATAACCTTACGGCACTCATCAGATTCAAGAGAAATAAAATACGATTTTAGAGGTATTCAGTTTAAAAGAAGTCTTTCGACCACTTTAAACAAACTTAACCAACGTGTTGGAACATGGCGCAAAACTTCATGGAATTCTGACTCGCAAAACTCAAAAAATGATTTCAACTCTTCTCGTTTCTTCGCAGAATTCGAAAATTTGGCAAAAACCTTCAGCACTACATTTTCGATATCAAAAGATAACTGCTTTAATGCATTTTTTGCGCTGTTGTGTAAAATATGATTATTGCAATGAGCAGCTACAATATTGTCATTTTCCAGCAATAATTTTTGGTAAACAGATTTGTTCACTCCATAATTGACGGATGCATTATCTGCTGAGTAAACTGAAACATTATTTATTTCCAATTCGTTATCACTAAGAACTCGACACAGCTGATTTTTTATTGATGTAGAATCTTCGAAAGAATCCTCATAAAAGTCTAAAATTTTCACACACAGTCTTTCTTCACAAGTAAAATATTGTGCAACAATGGGATACATTTTGTGATTTCCCTTGTTTGATGCATCAGTGGAGAGAGAAAATGGAATTCCAGTTTTAAGATCATTGAGAACCAACTCAATAGAAAAAGGATACAAAACCTCATTGACAATAGCTGATGATTTGGTTCTTCCACAAGACATCTTTTTTACAATTTCTGAATCATCAAAAATTTGCTTCATTAACTTAATACCGCAATCTTGAGCCAGGAAAGAAATATGGTGTTTGATGCCATGGTAAGTTTCAGCCATTTCAGCTACTGTCACTTTCTCACTGAAAGAGGAGTCTTTAACAATGAAAAACAAATTGATTCACTTGTTGCTGGAAGCTATTTTCTCCTTATCTAAATGATTTTTTGTGCTTGCATGTTGTGTGACAGCTTTTATACCATTATATTCAATTGTGAATGATTTCTCACACAATTTACAGTAGGCCGTCGTATTTGTTCTGTCGGTTTCGTTGTTGGTAATCCATGCAAAAGTAGCTTCCCAGTCTTTGGTGTATTTGCACACTCCTCTCTTTCATTTTAAAGAATTCGAAATCTCGCCGCTGTCACTCTAATCACTCGACGCCATTTTAGGTCAGTCGACACAAACTACAATACATTTTTAAAATGTGAACTGTACATAATTTTATAATATATTTTTATTTTAATCTCATCATTAATTTTTTCAGAGAATCGAGTTCAATGGATATTCGATCTTTGTCTCATTCTAACTTATGAAAAAAAAGACAAAACGTGATTCTCCTATCCTTATTCTCTTAGACTGTACAGCTTTAGATTACGTACCATTTCATCATAAAGCTTTTGAATAAAAAAAATGTCCACTATTTTGTGAAAAAAAATAGTGAACATAATGTTAAAAAAAGCGGACTGTCCACTCAAATAGTGGACACCTGGCAACACTAATATTTTCACAACACTCTTTCTGGCTGGTGCAGTATAAAGGTCCTCAATGGAAGGCAGATTGGTAGCAATTGTTTTTTCTGCAGTTCTAATTATCCGTTGAAGTTTGTGTTTGCCTTGATTGGTTGCAGAATCAAACCAGACAGTTATAGAGGTGCAGCTGACAGACTCAATAATTCCTCTGTAGAACTGTATCAGCAGCTCCTTGGACAGCCTGAGCTTTCTGAGTTGGCACAGGAAGAATATTCTTTGTTGTGATTTTGATGATGTATTTGATGTTAGGTGTCCATTTCAAGTCTTGAGATATAATAGAACCTAGAAACTTGAAGGTCTCTATTGTTGCTACTGTGTTGTCTAGTATTGTGAGTGGTTGTAGTGTAGGAGGGCTTCTCTAAAATCTACTATTATTGCTACAGTTTACAGTTTTTCAATACATATTTTTCAATTTCAATTTTCAAATTTTGATACTTTATGATCAATTCTTTGTCTTCTACTCTACTATCTCCTAGTATTGTCACGTAAATTATCCATGTTTTCTTCTTTTCAACCAGAGTTATATCTGGTGTCTTATGAGTCAAGACTTTATCAATTTTTATTTGGAAATCCCACAATATTTTAACTTGCTCATTTTCTACTTCTTTTTCAACTATATATTCTCAGCAATTTTTCATTGCTGATGAAAATTTGCATATGAAAATTTGTATTAATAGTTACAGTGAATCAGTTTGCAAACTGTGATTTTCTTGCATGAGCTGAGTATATGATGAGATATAAACCTTCCAAGTTTCACTTAGGAAATATGAATCTCCTGGGAAGAATAACACAATTCAATTAATATTAATGGGAGTTGTAGCTCCCCAAAATGTGAAAATTGTTATCTTTGACTTTGATAGCCTCAAACAATGTTCATCTTTCATCTAGGCCCTAAATTGGGATAGTGTTTTAATACTGTAGGGATGGAATGCTGCCTCTCTATTACTAAATCTTTCAAAAACCTCCGAACCCATGTGTAAATTATTTGTATAAACTCTTACCTTATTTGAAATCTGCAGTTCTGATCCCTACTGCCATACTTGTATTTCTCTTTTCTAATTTACCAGGTTCACTGAGAGTGCACTTTAAACCCCTTCCTCAAAAAAATAGGCTCTAAAGGAAAGAACAAGAATGACTATGATATTTATACAAAGAGACATCTGTCTTATTTGCAATTATATTTTCACCTCCCCATCCCACCACCTAAGTTGGAGGCTATAGCTTTCTACTTACTCCTTCCAAAAATACAATCCACCAGTCATAATAACTGCTTTACTGTTGCAAAGTACACCAATTGGCAAACTTCAGTTCAAGGTGGAAGGAAAGATTTGAGCTAGCCAGCTTATCTGGCAGCAATACTGTAATCACAGGAAAGTTAATGCTATCTAGTGTTGTGTCTGCATCTGACTTCATAACATGAAGTTGTTTCCAAAAAAAGATGTTGAAAATCTTATATGGGCATAAGATATGTTTCACAGGACACAAATAAGTCTCAGGGAACTATCATTTTGTAGAATTTAGCAAGATAACGGCAGTTACAATGGAAAAAGTTGTGAACAATATATTAGTTTGGAAAAGTTAGGCCAATATAACATTTTTATCAACATACTGGATTTACTTTGGATTTACCTTGATTGCGCACAGGAAGTTAGGAATTCAATTTGACTCCAATAATATTAGAATAAAAAATTCGGAAAGTTTTTCTGTTACTCCTTAGCAAGATGATTTGAGATTACATTAAGATTTCAACTGATATCTGATACTATTACTAGTCTTTATTACCAATTTTGCTGAAAGTCACTTATTGTGCCCACTCTGTAATTCTTCCCTATAGGACATTTGCGTTGCACCTATCAGGGTAAACTCTACCTTTAAGATAGGCAATTTCAAGATGTTGATCATGTTACAGATACAGATTTCTCTCCCATTCACCACCCACCTCGATTCCTGAGAATTGCATTGTTATCATCTCTGTGCTATATGTTCTGTGCCCTACTAAGTCAAGAGAGAAAATTATACTTACCATGATGCACTTTCTGGTTAGAAGAAACTGAAACATCCACCAATTGAAAATTCTCTATTGTATTACAAAGGCATAAGAATGGACATATCTAGGTGTATCTATAATATTAGGGACATTATGACATTCCTTGTTTCTAGGTATCTGTCTTGAAATCTTTTTATTTTCCTTTTACTCAGAATTTTTTGTTGTTGTACCATGCTCTACATTTCTTTCAAATTTTGTAACTGATATATTATGTTCTTATAAGAAATATTCCTAATCATTTGTTATTCATCTTGCTGGCCTGAAAAATCAGCCCTTCATGAAAATTCCATTTTATTCAATCTGAATAACTTGGAAGATTGCTCTTTCAGAAAGGCTTGTTCACAGCTTAGGGGTATTATAATCAGCTTTGTATCTGAGGGTCGAAAAGATATTACCATTTGAGGCTTACCAGCCACAGTTGCAGAAAAACAGGTTGGTTATATTTTGGTTATAGTTTCCTATTTAGGTTACCAGTATGTATGTACAGCTATTATTGAAAAGTATTTTGAAAATATTAATGGCAACACCTGTCACTAAGGTTTTGTGAGCTTTACATTCTGTTTTAGCTATTTATGTAATTCTAACCCCAAAGTATTAGTATACTAATCTAAAGTATTAGTTTTGTCTAAAAATATGCCCTTAAATGGCATATGATCTGGCAATTTCAGAGAAATTTCAGAGAAATTCTGGCATATGATCTGGTAATTTCAGAAAAATTCAGAGGAATCTGAATTTCAGAAATCCAGATTCCAGAGAAATTGCTTTGTCTAATTTGTTATCCAGTTACAGAATCCTTTCTCAATCTTCCCAAGAAAATTGCCTGGCACCAAAGTACTTTACCTTCCTTCTTTCCTAGCTAAGAAGTTTGATTAGTTCAAACTCGCCAACTGTATGTTTTCATTCAACTACAAGCAGCCACTGATTTAAATATTCCTTAATGCTCCATTTATTAGAATTAATTTATATGCTCTTCTAAGTTTTTCCCCTAAAAATAAATATTGTTTTATTAAATGAGCAATTACAAACTGGGCGAATGAGTATATTAATATACTCACTAACACAATATATAGTATCATAGTATATTAGTACTTCCTGCTCTGTGAATTTGATACACTGAAAAGGATCCTATACTTCAGTTTATAAATATAGCACCAACTATTGTGTTCAGTCTCATTTTGTCTTTATCCCACGCATTACTGCTCCGAGGTGGCTAATTTCCCATTTTAACAACTCTGGATGCAATGTGGACTTCAATTCCCAGAATTCCCAGCAACAGTCCTTCCAAAAAGTTGCCGAGATTGGGAAAGATCTGTATATGGGTTACTCAAGCTTCCTCTCTCTAGCTCTAGTTGCTCTAAGTACCTCTGCATCTGCAAGGGTGTGATTCTGTGTTTTTTTTTTTTTTCAAAGTTGCATTTTGCATTCAACACAGCAGTACTTTTAGCATCATAATAGCTTTCTATGCCTTATTTCAGTTTCTTTTATAGCTTCGGAAAACAAATATACAGATTTCGACGGGTATATCTTCAAAGTTTACCATGACAACAGGGGGTGAGCAGAACGTTTGACAGATTCAAGGCAACAATGTCTAGAAACTACAAACCCCAATATGCCTCGGGCTTCCTCGCTAGGAATACAGTAATGTATCTACTAGAAATACAGTAATGTATCCTTCAACTCCAGGGGCTGGCCCAAAACGTCAGCGCTTAATTTCTCACGTGATGGGAAAAAAGCGACTTTAACCCGTCACCGGTTAACGTGTCAGCCAATCAAACGATTCCACTTAGCAGAGTTTTTTTATAATTTGTGAAAAATGATAAAGTCACCGCCTTGCTGTAGCCGCGCCCTAGGGTTGTCGATCGTAATTGGCTATCGCTTTGTCCTTTAGAAGTACCTGTCGCTCTCTGACAGGTTAATAGGAAGATCTTGACGAAAACGGGAGGAGGCGGCTCCTCGCCGGCTCCTCCCAATGAAGCGTCAGCGATCAAGCCTCAAGCCTCAATTTACCGTTTTAGCTTCTTCCCCGCCTCCTTTTCTCACGCGCCGTCCAACGGCTGTCTACGGTCCCGCGCTTTATTTCTCCTCCCATTTCGTTTTCCTCGACCTACTCGGACGCGTTCTTGAGGCAATTCATTTTCACGCGGAAGCAACTTTTGTCTGTCTCTCCTCTTATTCTTATATCCACGCCTTATTCTCTCCCCCCACCCATTTTTCGCGCGCGCGCTCGCGCTCCTTCAGTCTCGCGCCCGTTTTCTGGCGTCGCATTGGGATGTTGGCGGCCGCCGCAACGGGCAGTAGTTCCTGGGTCGCTCAAGAAGAGGCGGCGGCAGGGAAGTGCTTCCCCCGCCAGTGAAAAGAGCGCGGAAGAAGACAGTGATTTCACCCGCTTCCCCTGTCTTCTTTTGCGAAGCGTGCTGACGGATCGAGGCGGCTTCTGCTCCTCCTTCGCTGCGCGTTAGGCGGAGAAAAAGCGAGGAGCCCGGGGATCAACATGGCGGAACACTCAGCCCCCGACCAGAAGCACAAGTCCGGTGCTGCTGTCTCGTCGTCATCTTCAAATTCCCAAGCGCTGGCTAACAGTCGAGGTGGTTCACTATCGGCTACCGGCCCCGGCGCCCCAGCTGGAGGAGGCGGCCTGTCGGGGGGCCTGTCGCAACCGGCAGGCTGGCAGTCGCTGCTTTCCTTCACGATCCTTTTCCTGGCCTGGCTAGCTGGTTTCAGTTCCAGGCTCTTCGCCGTCATCCGTTTCGAGAGCATCATACACGAGTTCGACCCCTGGTAAGAATTAGAGATGTCTGAAACGGACTCCTGTGCTGCTCCATGCGGCGGTGGACGACCAAGCGACAGCACTTAAACTGAAGAATAGGGAAGCGGGTTAATGAGAGAGCTGCGTGTGGTCCTTGAGAAAATGGGGGAAACCGAGATAAAAAGAGTTTTTTTAAAAGCAAATGAGGAAAAATTATGGGAGTGTTTGATGAGAGGCGGATATGCTGTGCGGTGGTGCAAATGAAAGGCTAGGAGGGAAAGGTGGCATGTGGAAAGATGAGCCGGAGTTGTTTTTGAGGGTGCCAGGTGGGATGGTGGAAAAGCCAATAATGGTTGAGATAGGTACTTTAATCTTAAAATTGTCTTGTGACTGCCAAAATGCCCGAGACAGTCTTATCTAAGCTTACGACTTGAATGCGATCTGGTGTTGGGTCAACAGGCCCCAAATCGTTTTCATTTCTTCATTGGGTAAAACTTGTGCAGCGTTGCTGTAATCCTCGCTGCAGCATAGACGAGTGTGCGTTTCCGTTTCTGTATGGAAGAGAGGCCGGAATAGAGCAAGGGAACAGTAGTTAAAAAAGCATTGAACTCCGAAGCAATGGAACCTTTTGCAATAAACTATCGGGAGGTGAGCAGAGGGGGCAATACTGTGTACAAATAGATCCTGTTCATATGCCTTCGATAACCAAATTTCTTCAGCAATTCAGTAATGAAGTCAGTATATTTCTTACGAAAGCTGTGGACTTTTAACTTTATGCTTCACCACCCAGCATATTGTGAACTAGTAATAATATTGCAGTGAATTAAAAAAAATGAGTAGGATTTTCATTTTAAGTAGATGCCTAATTTTTTATTGACACTTATTTTTGTGATCACAAATGTAACTGAATTTAAAGTTACAATTTCCATTTTATGAAGTATGATTTTTACATGCCTGTATGACAGTTATAGAAAATATTACTTTGATGCACAAAGATGGAAAGATTTGACCTTATCTGCAAGCGAAGAATGGTAGGTGAAAATGATGGAACTTGCTGAGATAGCTAAATTAACTTCAATAATAAGAGAAAAGACAATATCTACCTTTATGGTTAACTGGAAACCCTATTGACTTTTATGTGAAACACAAATAAATGAATTTATTATTAATGGTTTTGATGAATAGACAGAATAGATTATAGAAAGGTATGTTGTAACCATAGAGTAAGAGGTAAATTTACAATTGGCTTTATAACTGCCATAAAGAAAATAGGAAACTATTTATCTATATCTTTTCCTTTTCTATTTATCTTTTACTTTTCTGCAGTTAGCTTTCTTTGATTTGTTTTCTTTTTCTTACTTTATATTAATTTGTACTTTATTTTTTAAAAAATCTTTAATAAAATTTGATTCATTATACATCAGATCTTGGCCAGAGTAGATTACACCAATTTGATGTAACTTCCTCCAGTAATTGTTATATATGGGAATACTATTCTGCATTATTTGCCCTAAACATTTTCTTGACACAGAACAGAATCTAATTCTTGTGATGAGCTGCAAGCTTGTAGAATTATTTCTGATCAATAAGTTTCTGTGTTTCTGATTCTATACTTTAATTACCAAACTGGAGATAGTTGCACCATTTTCCCCATCTTGCCCTTAAAGTAGATTGCATCATCTATATCACATTTTTCACTTGCCATATGGATTTTACATTAGGGCAGGTTGAATTTGAAGTATTGAAAAGACTGATGCATTATTGTACATACATGTAAAGATGTACCATACTTTTAACTTACGTTTTACAAAAATTGTAATATAGAGGAGTTTAAAATCCATTCTATTCTGTTTTTTGGGGTTTTTTGGTCCAAAATCCTTGAACTTTGTACTGAAATGGGAATCAATGCTTGTATCTTTGCTCCTGAGATTATTCCAGTTAGTTAGATCAGTATGGAAAATGGCCTGTAGAAAAATATTTCTGAGAATAGGTATAGTGTTAGAACAGTTGGCTGAGGTGAGAAATCATTTATTTATTACCATTCTGTTCAAATAAATCATGCTGCAGCAAACATAAACTTCCATTTTACCATTATACTGTTAGCATAATAAAGTAAACAATCCTGTTCTTTGTTTAATTTGGCATTTGAATTGAAAAGCAGTTATTTTACATTTTATGAAGCTGTTAATCAGAGTTTTCACTATTAATCAAGATGTACAATTGCTTTATTACTTTTCAGAAAATACTTTCTATAAATCTGTAATATTCAAGTAACCATGTCAAAGTAAACATGTCAAATAGTTCCCTGAGTACTGAGGATCGCAGGTAGGGAAGATAGTACTGGATGAATTAAAAGATACAAATCATTCCATTAATTTATTTCTAAATACTTTGGTGCCTTTTTTTCCCTCCCAGCCTACTGCTTTGGTTGGAAGCATTAGCGTTTGGTGGCTATTTCTCAACATACTAAAAGAGATTCTAGTTCTGGATTGTATGTGGAAAAACTGAATGTTTAAAAAAATGATCTTTAACAAAACGATACATTTCACTACTAGATAATCAAATATATCATATTTGACAGTATTTTAATAGGCAAGAACAGTTGGAAACAGAAGATGATACAAAGCATAAGTACAGAGATAATCCAATTACATTTCAAAGCAGGAACAGTTACAACGAAGCTGCCTGCTTTTTGCCTTAACATTCTTCACATACAAGACAAATAATTAATTAAGTTCATCATAGAAAATGAAAAAGGTCTTTCAGAAATCATATATAACAGTTTACAAAGCAGTTTACAGAGTCAGCATATTGCCCCCAACAAACTGGATCCTCATTTTAGCAACCTCAGAAGGATGGAAGGCTGAGTCAACTATGAGACTCAATCTGCTGAACACCTGGCAGTCAGCAGAATTAGCCTGTAATACTACATTCTAACCACTGCTCTTATAATATCTTTTTTTACAACCCCGTAATCCCTTAATTTGGGGTAGAGTCGTGGCAACTGGATGGATTTATTGGCTGGATACCCATCCTGACATCACATGGAACAAATATTGAATATCAATCTTCTGAATGGGAGATGAGAGTCTTTACCACTAGGTTACCAAGCTACATAATACAATGCAATGCAATGCTAAATCCAATCTGACTATGGAACAAACCATAATAATATAGGAGGCATGCTAATCAGTCGGTATGACATTCCCACAATAGACTTGGTGTGATATAATGTGAAAATATTTAAACTAGGATGGCCACTTTTAGCTTCACTAGGCATCTTTGAACAAGCCACACTCTTATTTTCAGCAATGGTTTGATAAACCATGGTTTATTGAAAGTACATTGATGGATTGGCATAGCACCTTAAACCATAAATCATAGCTAACATAGAATGATAGCTAGATTAACAATTCACACTCTAGTTGATTTTAACATCTGAGAAAAATGCAATGTAAAAATTTAAAATTGATTCCAAAATGTTTCTGTACTTTAATTTTGTGTAAGAGTTATTCAGTACTGGAATCTTAAATGTACAGAAATTTTAAGATTTTAAAAAATATTTCTTTAATCACTTTTCTCTGCAATCATTTTAGATTTAATTAAAGACTGAATCCATGCAACTTCAATGAAGGCATTCTATGTGTCATTTAAGAGTTTTGGGGTGCCAGATATTGCCAAGCTCCTGATTCATATGATTGGGTTCTTTCTTGGTTACCCAGTGTGAACTTTAATACTATATTCCTGACATTAATTGGAGTCATCCCATAATGCAATCAGCAGACCAATTCTAAAGAAAATATAACTTTCATAGGTATTGGGGATGTTTAAATCAGGGAGTAGACTTAACTCTAGTTAGCCATAACAGTTAAGGTACCTGTTGATGGATTCTTTTCAGTATACAATTCAATCTTAAATAGAGATAGAACACTAGCAGTGGGAAGATCTAATTTTCTAATACAGGAAACCTGATACATCAGAGATACTAGAAGATCTTTTGTTCATCCCATTGTCCGTATCTGAAAAAGCAATAGGTTGTTTAATATTTGTTTCAACAGCTAAAGAATAGCATATTCATAAATACTTTAGTTTTAAATATTTTAAAGTGTTTTATATATTAATTGTAGGAAAAACAATCACAATGGGAAAAGAATGGAACAATAATAAAGTAATTAGCATTTAGGTTAGCAATTCACAATTCTTTTCAGGTTAAGGACTGACTGCCTCACTTGCTAAGGACCACATTCCAAAAAACAAATGGGCCAAAACATATCCAAATTTAATTTGATTTCATTTATGTTTTTCTAACATTGATTTAATATATTTAATTTCTTCTATATTTAACC